CCCTAACCCTAACCCTAACCCTAACCCTAACCCTAACCCTAACCCTAACCCTAACCCTAACCCTAACCCTAAGATTGCGCATCGTGCTCACAGATTCCTTTCTGGGTAAAGGCGTGCGCACGATCCATGATAGTGCTTGCCAAGAAAATTGTAAAGAGAGCACAGGTTCGAGCGAGCATGTTCGGTGCTTTGAGGGAAGTGTGTTCGGAAACTTTTGGCGGTACTCTTGCGAAATGGGTGGCCATGAGTACGAGCACTTGCTCCCGCCCTGCTTTTATGCTTGCCGTGAGCGTCTCGCCTTTTCAGTCACTGCAGGGGCCTGGCATGCTCGAGCGGGCGCCCCAGAAAGGTATGAGATCCAAATTTCCACTCCGCCGAGCACCTACAACGAAGCGGCTGAGACCTGCAGTCATGCTGGTCCGACTTCGATAGAGCCATTCGAGAAGGCGTCCCGAGAGCAGTCAAATGCAGCACTCCCGGGTTCTGCGCATGCACGTTGGGGTTCTTTTTTCCTTCGCTTCTCCACTGAGCCATTTTCACCACGATCCGATCCCCCGGAGGTCTACCTCGTACGCTACCTTGTGCAACCGAAGATTACGTGGAGTGTGGCAATTTAATTGTGCTCAAATGACTCGCTTCGAAGAGCTGCCCTCCGAGCAGACAGCGCCATGAGGGAAAGCAACTTGAGCTCGCGGTGTCCTCATCCACTTTTGCTATACGTCTCACGGAGTAGATGGAGGCTTGCAGTCCGAATTCTGAAGTTTAGCCATTTAGACTGCGTCAGCGTTACAACTCAAAACCCATCGAACTCGCGAGTCTACGCGCAGAGCTACTTGCAGGGCGGGCTGCAAGATTAATCTTGCAGCGTCTTTCCCTGCTACTCGCGCAGGCCTGCGAGAAGACAACGCAGGCGAAGCTTCGATCCATGAGCTTTGCATGTCATGCAATTAAGCAGTGACACTCGCTGTCTTCACGCGGTGCGTTCCTCACTCCTCTTTGGCGGCATGGTATTCCGAGACATTGCTAGGTAGAGCAAAGAAACGTGGGTTGGAAAAAGTATTTTGTGTCGTGCCCGTCGATCGACGACTGTTGGAGTGAAGAAATTGCTCTCATGGATGCACGCATGCACCGCGGTCAGTGATGTATCACACGCCTAGCGCCACGCACGCGCGCGCCTGCATGAAGACTCTACTCCAGCCGCGCAATCAATTACCCCTGAACGACATCATACCCCTCATAATGTGCTCAGCAGCGCGCATCCTCGATTTTGTGCACTCCAAAGGCGCTTCATCGTCTACTCGATGAGCAGTCTTCGAGACGCACAGATACGACCCTTGACTTTATCAACGTATTCATTTCGTTACGACTAACCCCGTGTTTTTTTCTCGAAAGGGAAAATCGAGCCCGAGTGAGCCAGACTGCACCACGCGGAAATTCCCCGCGTCGTTGCTGACTCAGGGTCCTTTGCGATACTTCAGACCAGCTCTGACCTACAGAGACCACGCGAAAATACTTGAGTCAAGCTGAAAGCGCCCGATGAAATCCATACGCATTCACTCACGTTCTCTGTGTTATCGACCTGGTCGCTGTTAAATGGAAAGCCATGCAGCTCATTTGAGCTCACTTGTCTCGCGCTGAGCAGCAGCTGCTCCTACTCACGACGAGCACTCTGCGATGGCCAGGTCCGTGGGGTATACTTGCCCCCCAAAGGTTTGTAGCTTGAGCTGATTGATCTTGCCCGTCTCGTCGTCATTTTGGAAGTTGTTGCATATTTTTTGCCAGCAACCTGGTGCTGCATCCATGCCCACACACGAGGGAATGGAAGACTTGTCCAGGAAGACGACTTTGTGTGCAAACGAGCCACAGCGTGCGCAATGCTTCAGCGATGACTCGCACGCGCTGCCCCGCGCTCGCACAACAACACTCACAGATTCCCTCTTTGGTGAAGCCTTCAGGGTTCACGTCTCGGCAGGAGACATTGACCAAGGCGGCGAGAAGGGCGGTCAGGATGGCAGTGTAGTGAGCACGCATGTTGATGACAGGACGAGTTGTGAAGCGGTGAAGGAATGCGTTGGTGGGAGAAGAGAGGAGATCCGAACGCTGGTCTATCATTTATACCTGCTTTGAGGAATGCCGAAGATCGGCAAGAACAAAAGAAATGTGCTGCTATCACGCAGGAGCGTTCGCGCGGGCCGCACCGTGGCGCCGTGAGGTTACGAAGCTGGTACCGCCGTCTCGGGCTTACAAATGCCACCCAAGTCTTGGCAACACTTGGAGCTGACTACACTACATGCTAAGCTCTTCGCGATGCGTCTGGTCCCCTCATTTGTTCTTGGCGCTGGTGGCGTCGGCCCGTCAGTCCATTTAGTCGGTGCAACGCTTTGCTCCAAAGCCGCGCGTGATCGTTTGACTCCTTCGTTGAGAGACCGTTGCCATATAGCTCTCTTCTGTGCTTGCTCAACACAAAACCTCGCTCAAGAGCGTCAAAGTCAATCTTGTGCTAGTCTTTGCTGACCCGAAATTTGCGTGGGTGGCGAAAATGCGAAGAAGCGCAGCTTGGTTGGCCCTCATTTCAATCCGTTCTTTTCCCCAGCCTCGGCCCGAGTGGCGTGATCGATTGGGCGCCGTGTCAGTATGAGCTTTAAGATTGCAACACTCATACGGGCTGATGTACGCAGACGTTGTTCGGACGCCTTGTGTACCACATTCCAGTGAAATTCGGTACGACATTGACACGCGGCGGACCCGGGGCAATCATCATTGGAACAATTGCTCTATGGTCCGCGGTACCTGATTGACCTCATCAGCGGCTTCAAGGCAGGCATTTGCCGCGCATGTTCGAGAGACACACGGCCGATCAGAAACGCTGTAAGACCGTCGCGTCATTTGCAACTCAGACTTTCCAGTCCAAACGGTAGCGGCGTGAGGACGCAGATCCACCAAGAAAGCGGTATAATCGCGCGAGATCTTACATGCAGTAAGCGAGACTCGGTGCCATGCTGTAAGGCAGAGGAAAGGCCCGTGCGCCTTTTTCGGAACGCAATAGTGACGTTCGGAGGACGCGGCCCATCAAAGGATCAGCCTATCAGAGAGAAGCCGTTGCAGGCGTATGCTTGCGACCAGATTTGATAATATGCCGGCAATGGCTCAAGTCAGGCGTAACGCCGCTCTCGATATAAGCACCTCCCGGGGCGCGCTTCTTCAACAAGACACACGCGGGCGTGGAGTGGACCTTTTGAATCGAAGCGCAGACACCAATTTACCTGCCTCGTACCGTTCTCTCGTGCCTGTCTCAGGCGCGGCACTCGCCTTCCGAACGGATTGACATTTCTTGACATTTGTAAGCTGCGCGATCGAGCTCGCACTTTCGATGTTATCGCGCCTATCGCGCCTATAAGAACCGAGCCCGCTCTGCCAGACCGGGTGTGATACGCCAGGAATTCTTGACTCCTCTCACCCTCTTGCACGTTTCCTCACCTTGAAAATGGCGCGCTTCAATCTTCTCGTTGTCGCAGCTCTCTCTGTGCTCGCGCACAATACAAGTGCTCGGCCGAGGCTGGAGCCAAGATCAACAGGGCTCCCGCCTTTGGGTCCAGAAGCCACCAAGATTGTGGCCGACTCGCTCAAGGCTGCTACTGTGCGGTCGGTACATCTGGATCAGATGAGAGCCGATTACCTCGCTCAGATCAATGATGTCGACAATGGCAAGTAAGTGAAGTGTCGGGAGAGAGACGTCTCCTCTGGAATATTTCGAAAATTGTCAATCTGATGATTACATTCGCAACAGGAACTCAAAGGCCAGACTGTCCAGCAACGCCGCAGATTGGATCCTCAAAGATCTTGTGAGGGTGGCCGACAGCACCCCCACTCAGCATTACGAGGTCACACCGGCCGAGCTCGACGCGATTTACGCTGGAGGCTTTGCCCCAGACTCGTACACGGGCTACTCGCAGGCTTTTCTTGCAAGCGACGTGCACGCAAAAGTGCTCTCAAAAGGGCTCGGCGATAGTCTCAAAAACCAGACGCAAGACCTCTGGCACGCATGGCGCAATGCTTACTTTGCACTGAATTATGGTCTGTGAGTCATAGACACGGGCGGCTGTTGTGAGAAGAGATCGAATTCATAGCGAGTGCGTGCTCGACTGAAGGAACTGGAAGAGAATTATATACATGCATAGAGAGGAGGCCTGTGCGCTATTCTGACCGTTCAGGTGCCTCATGCAGAGAAGGGGACCGTGCACTCAATAGCGGCGAGAGAGCAAAGATTGACAATTCGCATCGTCGTGCCCAGATACTCGCCCGAGGGAGCAAACAAGTGGAAGTCGAGCGTCGACACAATCACGGATGCGTTGAGTAGCGTCGTTCGGCTTTACTCCACCTGAAGTCGGGTGACGCGAAACGCGGTAGAGAGGCTTTGTGCCACGTCGTGGAGGGAAGAGACCGGGGCAGTCCAAGTGTGGAGCAATGGACCTCACTTGGTCAAGGAGGACGTGTGCTTTTGATGCCGTTGCGGAGGAGCGTGCACTGTACAATCATCACGTAAGCAGACGACCGTGAGCCTCGAGCACGGAATTTTCGACACGCGTCGCCGCTGCGCTTTCGCGCCTTCAGTCACACTCACGGCTGGCCATAGTAATTCATGTCGCACAATTCCATCACACTTCACACGACTTTGACTGCATGTAGATGTCGCAATCGGAGTGCAGCACAGTATGCATGCAGCAGGTGGCTGACTGTGGTGGGCGTGCTGCGTGTGCGTCTTAATCGCGCCCTCTGGCGACGGGTCCGCGGACAAGCGTCCTACATTTACGGTACTTGGCACTTTTCGCTTCTTGCGTCACGCGTATCTGAATCTTGATGCAATCAGAAGCATCACAACTATCATCCGGAGCCGCTGTCTCGCAACGCCTAGGTGCGATGGCTCATCGCGCGCAGAGACGAGGCGAAGGTAACATCGACGAGGCTACGCCTCCGCCACTTCCACTCATCAAGACTGCGCGAGTCTGAACGATTTCGATCGATGCGAAAGTGTTCCTGACACATACACAAGCTTTCGATGTCCGAGCTCTCGCTAGGTCTTCGGACGACCAACTCGGCAACAGCAATCTGGAAAACCAATATTGGCGAACACTTTGTCGCGGACTTGCGTGTCGGAACGACGCTCACGAATTGTAGTGCTCGAGTAGTTGACTCCAGCAATCACGCAAAAGTGCCTATTGTGCCGTGCATCTCCGTGCGACTTGTGAGACGAAGCGCGCGCACTACGATGACCCGACAACCTGTCTATCATGAAGCCGCAGACCGTCGTCGTTCATGGTCTGCGAAGGTCCACCTGGACATTTAAATAGCTAGACCCAAAGCCCGCATACTACAAATTGTCCAATCCTGCCTGCGTGATCTTGCTGCTTGCGCCTCAGCACTCCTCTCAAAGACGCACTTACAGCCCTGCTCTCCCCCCTACCAAGATGCGACTCTTCATCGCAATTTTGGTGAGCTTCGTTGCGCTTCAGGCTGCTATCCTCGCTCCGGCCGTCGTTGCGCTCCCATCCTCGATCTTTGAGCCGCGCGCAGACTGGCACGACCCGCACAACGATGCAGAACTCGTGCAGAAGGCTCGCGAGCAGCTCAAACTGGCCACTGGACCAGTGCATTCACCCAAGCATGCGCCCACGACGTATCTGCAACAGCTACAAGCTGATTACGTTTCCCAGATCACTGGTCCCGAGTCTACGAGGTGAGCACAGATCAGCAACGGCAGACTCTGCCCACATGCTGACCGCACCTGCACATAGCCCCGAGCACTCCCGGACGGTGCTGTACAGCGAAGCTTTGATCTCGCTTAATTCCACCCTTTTGGGATTTGTCGACATTTTAGGCAGTCTCGATCGCTATTTCAGCCACAGCGACGCCGAGGAGATCATGGCAGACTTTTACCCTGAAGTGTACACATCCTATGCTGCGGCGCTCACCACACCTGAAATAAAGAAGCAGGTCGCCGAGAAGAATGTTGGCCTTCAGCTGCAAAGCGGAACGGCGGTGCTCTGGCAAGCGTGGGACCATGCCTTCTTGGCTTTGCGTGACAAGACGTGAGTATGCTTTCTCGCAATAGAGGTCATTCATGCCTCCGCTAACGCTCACCTGCGCGTCGGTCTGCAGCGTACCCGGCTCGCCTGAAGCTGAGCAGTGGGTGAATGGCATCGACACGCTCAAGACGGGTCTTCAGGCCATCATCAACACGTATCATGCTTGACTGCACCAGCAAGCGCGAACCCAGCGCAACCATAGACTCAGCAGCCGTACGCAACGACCATGCTTCACCCTATCAGCTCGCGAGTGCCATGTCCACCGTATTGACCTGACGATGAATTTTATTTACATTCCCATGCCCATTTCCTTCACCACGAGGTAACGAGATTCTGATCATTCGCGTCGAAGCGCACGCACCATTTGCCCTGTCCCACGAAATGATAGATTCGAGAGCGTACTGAATGAGCGACAGATTGCCAATAGCACCAATGACGCTAGATTGGCCAAGAGCGACAATTTGAGTTCGGTCCGCGCAGTGAGACGGCTTTCCGCGTTGCGGCTCCGCGCGCTACCCCGTCGTGAGTGCTTGGCGGCTAGACGCAAGCCCGCCAGTGTGCGCGAGGAGGGAGGAGCGAGGAACGGAGAACGTCCTCAAGACTTTGAACGTCTTTGCGCCGTCTGAGCACGCATGTCCGGAGTCGAGACGAGTCACCGCGCGCAAGTGCGCGGAACGACGCACGCACAAGGGCGTGTTATTTTCACCGCGCTCTGCAATCTGCGAATCCAGTTCCGAAGCTTTCAGCCCTTGCGCAAGCTCAACCGCAAGCTTCGTGTTGAGGCTGCTTGATTCCGATGACGTCGGACTTCCGAATGGAAAATGCGCCGCCCTACACCTGTGACTTGCCTACAGCGGTCTCGCCATTTTGCGCGTAGATGGTCGCACGGAACCCCGCTCTGCATCATTGTCGAGACACGTCGAGGAACCCGCGGGCGCAGAAGCGGACCGCGAGCGACAAATGAGCGATCCCATTTGCGCAGCTTGACTCATCTATGCAGCCCCCAGTGACGTTGACATCTTTTTTCGAAGGGACGAAGCGACCGGAAGTCTGCGCCCGCCACCCGTCGATGAATTTGTTGGTGTTTGCGTGCTGGTCATTCGAGCATCGCGTCATGCGACCCCGCTCATCGCCCGCATGTCGTGCTGCAGTCGATGCTGGGAGTGGATGTCCTGAGCACTGCATACACACTCGCGTCGCCGTGCATTCCCAAAGTATCGACTAGGCGAGCTCGAAAGATACAAAAGGGCCCTTTCGTGGTCGTAATTTTACTTCCTCTCTCCTTCACTCGCTCTACACCGTCCATCCTCGCCTTTCCCGCTCGCTCATCACCACCTTGCACGAACCCCTCTTTCGCCTCACCATGGCTCGCTTCACGCTCGTCCTGACACTCTTGCTGTCTCTTGTCCTGGCCTTTGTCTCGGCCCCATCCTGCCAGGCAGCCCCCGCAGAGTCTGTCGGTCTGACGCAAGACCAAGACAAGGTTCGCCTAGCGTTCCGCAATGCTTCCGGCAACGGCCCAAACGTAGCGCAGCTACAGTCGGACTTTTTGTCGGTCATCAACACCAAGCAAAAGTGAGAGAGGCCCGCACGAGAGCGCCGCACGCGACGCGACTCTTGCTGATCTGTCTCGCTCGTCCCTCCACCTGGCAGTCCCAAATTTGCTTCCCCTGTGCTCTTTAGCGTAGCGCATGCCCGCATCGCATCTGCGCTGTCCAGGATCGTTCGCGTCTCTACCAAGGACGACTTTGAGATTCGTCACGAGGTCGAGGCAAAGGCGATTCTGAACGAATTCAACCCTCACCCTTACAACGATCTTGCCGATGTCTTGACTGGCGACGAGGTCAAGACGACCGTCGAAAAGTCAAATGACAAGACGCTTGCTCGAGCCATTGCGCTCCAATTCACCGCGCTGCAGGTTCTTTGGGCCAACGCTTACGTCGCCTTTTCCAGCGAGACGTGAGTGTGCTAGGCCGGCCTAGCAACCTGTCGAGTTTTGGCAATGCTGACAGCGCGAGATTCGTGATTGCGCAGAGTTGGCAAAAAAGAGGCACAGGACAGTTTCAACAACCGTTACTACGCCATCCAAGACAGCTTGACCAAGATCATCAACATCTACAACAAGTGAACGTGGCTGCTAGTGTTGGCGCTTTCCAACGCCGCACGCAGCCAGCCAGCCAGCCAGCAAGCACTCTGCGTCTGCGTCTGCTTCACAAACATTCCACGATTTTCCCCATTTCGAATCGCGAATCGGCCCTCTCAATGTCACCAGCCTAGTCCCCCGCACAGTAATGCATGAACAGTCTCGCGTTTTCGCGTTCCGGTGTGCTCGTGTTCGAATCGCCGCAGCGACTGTCTCGACCGTCTCCTCGGCACATGCAGTCAGCCACGTGTGGAATGATTAGAGCGGATGCAATCGGCATCGACTTGGGCTGTCCGTCATGGCATGCTAGACTGCACCATCTCGAAGCCGAGCTTTCCAATGATTGCTCAAGGTCGAAGCGTCGAGCACCTAAAACGTGGCAACGTCTGGCAGACGAGATTGCCTCGGGATGGCTGATGATCGGCAAAGCTTATCCCCGAGGGCATTCCACACAGCATGACACGCGCAATGTGCATCAATTCAGCGAGTAGAGCTCGCATGATTTGCGGGCTGCGCTGTCTCTACAAACTCCATTCGACATTCAATTTTGCTCCTCGCGTCTAGGTTGAGATCGCTTTGGAGGCTTGCTGCTCCTGGCATAGTGATGAGCAACGCGATCCACGTACCTCAGATCCTTTGAACGTCTCAAGTTGACCAACTTGTGATGCAGCGGATTGAGGTCCCTAAAATCGAGCGTCGGAGCGTCCTTCGTGGTGTTTGGTGCGCACTGCGCCATGAACTTCGACGTGACGGGCTGAAGCACAGCTGGGAGGCAAGGCATCGTCGCGTAGGCTCTTCCTTGCGGTGGGTACAAAGAGCTGAATTCCGTCACCGTCTCCAGCGCCTCATCGATCCGGTCCGATCTGGGCGGTAGCAGCACGTCAGCGGCAGTCAAAAAGATGGACGCATCACCTCGCACTCACTTGCACAGATTCGCGATTCGAGCAGCCCAAACGCGAGCAATGGCCTTGCCTTGCGTCTCTCCGCTCACCCGATACTCCCGCCAGCGCTTCCACAAAGCATCACCGATCTGATCAGCCCTTTCGCGACTCTTGCTCGACACCTTGCCACACAGGGTCATCGCGATCTCAAAAGTCTTTGGGTTGGGTTGTAACGCCAGTCGAGCAAACAGCCCATCCTCCTGCGCTTCTTCTACCGCACCAAAAGCCTCCTCGAGAAGGCCAAAGAATTGCCCATCCTGACGCGAGTGCCGCGTAAGCGCCTCGAGGTAAGAGTTGACAGCAAATGTGGTGATGCAGACGTTGGATAGTAGACCTTTGCCACTCTCCACATCCAGCAATAGTCGGGCAAAAAGTCCGCGCACTTCGCTAACAACTTCTGCTGAACTCATCGGTACGCGCTCGTCAAAGGATGCCTCGCCAGCGTCGAAATCTGCAACATCGTCGGCGTCGGTACCGGCGCTTCGGACAATGTCATCTGCGACCGCTTCGTCGTGTTCTTCGCCGCCTGCGAAAACCTTTGCTTTGTCGTTGCAAGCTTGAACCGCAGTGGTAGCTTCGTCGACCACTTCTCCGCCCCTTTCGCCCTCGCCATCTTGCGTCGCACCCGCCCGCTTCTGTCGCAAAGCCCTCAAGTTGCTCTTGAAAGGAGGGACGTATGCTGCATACGCATTGAAGACGTGCATCAAGCTGACGTCGTCCGGTCTTCTGTTTTCCACCTCTAGCTGTTCCCTATCCGTCAAATTAGTCGGTCCGCGTTCCTGCGCCGTCTCTGACCACAATGCGCTCGCGTTGCGCAACATCTCTGCCAAGACCCATCTGGCGCGGGCGAGATCCCCATTACGGGCGCAGCCATTGAGTAGAGCATTGAAGGTCCTTTTATCCGGTGCGAAGCAAGTGAGCTCCTGTCTAGCCTGAACGTCTTCGATGCTCAGGCGCTCCCTTTCCAGCGCCACCATCTCCTTTAGCAGCCTGAAAGCTTCAGGCAAGAGCTCTTTTCGGCGTGCATACACCAGCATGAGCGCATTGTACGTCTGCGCCGTGGGTCGAATGCCGTGATGGACAGACATTTCCCTGAACAGATCTAGCGCCCTCTCTCCATCCGCTACGCGCTTCCGTGGCGCGTTCGAATAATCGTCGCCAGGATACTCGATGCCCTCAGCGCAGGCTCGGATAGCCAGAGTGTACAGTGGCGCGTCGGGCGTGGGGTGCGCCGCAAACCTCATCCGATGATACAAGCTCCAGAACAATGGCTTGTGGTGCTTGGGTGCCGCGGTGAGAATGTGGTTCAGAACCAGCGTATACGTCGCCAAGCTGGCAGGGCCGGGCAGCAGAGCAACCGCGTCGGACGTTTTGGCAGACGCGCCTTCGAGCGAGGCGAGAATGTCCAGAGCGGCTGCAAGCGAGCTGCGCAAGTTTGCCTTGATGAGGCAGTGGGTGGTGTGCGCGTCGTCTAGGGATAGAATCGATGTGTGAGCAGTAGCCGGCTCGTGTGCTACTTTCAGCCGACTCACGAGTGCTCATGGAGGTGATCATCCTTTCGCATGTCTCTACGTCGCCTTTCTCCGCGTACACTTCGAGAACGCCATTCCAGAGTCGCGTGTCCGGCTCGCTGCCCGAAAGCTGCGGGATCAATGCGGGGTCGTGAGCACGGGAGCGTCCGCTAGGGCAAGCACTGTGCTCACCTTCATGGCGTCGAGCAGCCGCGATTGGGATTCCACATCAGACGCGCGACTCTGCTCGAATACATGCGCTGTCAGCAATTGCAAGGCCGCGAAAGAAGCAAGGAGCACACTCACAGCAAGGACAACGAGAGCCTCCCATTCTCGTCGCGTGATCAGACCGACCGGAAGTGCTGCAGGCCGAGTCGAGCTTCCCGCCATCAGGGAGAACCTCTGCACCACTTCTTCCACCTGTGCAAACAGCGCTCGTCTCGCTTCTCCATCCCTCATGAGATCCGTCTGTCCATCTCTTGCCACATCGCTCTGCGCAATCGCGACCATCTCATCGACTGCTTCTTGAGCGCGAGACACCGAGACTGCTTCTTGGAGATCCTCTGCACGTGCTCCGTCATCTGCTCCGCGCAGCCTTGCGTGCATCATCTCGATACGTTTGGTGAGCGGGCCTAATCGTGACCGCAGCTTGTGCTCATCGCGTACGCGGCGTGGCAACGACTCGATCTCCAGCAAGCGTTTAGCTGAGTTGGATGTTGCCGTTCCAATTGCAGGTGCAGACGCTTGACTCTCTTTTACCTTGATGCCAACCAACGCCACCTCGCCTGCGTTCGCAGCACCATCCTGCACCTCGCTGTTCGACGGTAGCAGCCTTTTCGCCTCGTTCACGGCAGCCATGAGTCGCAAACGAGCTTCCTGTCTTGCACTGAGCCGCTTCACCTGCTCATCAGGCGGATCAGGCATGCTGAGAGCCTTGTACAACCTGTCCAGCGTCCCATCATCCAGCTCCATATCCAGCACAGCAGCTACCTCTCCTTTTGCCCTTTCTGCTGCCTGCTTGGTGTGCTCACGCTGTTGCACATCGGAGAGCTGTTTGTTCATGGATCGAATATCTGCCAAGATTGCTCGCTCGGCTTCTCGCAGCGTGACAGAGCGCCCCATCGACTTGGTGCTTGCGCGCTTGGACGATGCTTGCTGCGAGTCCCGACGGCCCCGAGACCACATGGAAGCAAAATCATCCCCTTCAATTCCGCGTGCTCCGATAGCGTATTCGGATGACGACGACTCTGCTGCGTGGGATGAGCTGCTGCAAATGCTTCGTAGAGGAGCTGCGGAGCAGGGGATGGGAAGCTCTGTGCTGGATGAGCTGGCCACTGTAGCTTGAGCCAGCGTCCTGCTCGACGATGCCCATGTATGCGTCGCAAGAGAGACCCTCGCAGTCGAAGAGAGACCATACCGTGCCCTGTGCATCGTGCAGAGAGCCAGTGCAGCGATGCTGCTGGGCAAAACAAGTGAATGAAGTGTGGGTGAGGGGCAAGACCTCGGAGTGTGGGTGGAGCGAGCTGCAACCCAAGCTCACGCGACCCGCGCACCGCACAGCAACCACACGCGAGGACAAATTTTCTGTGCGCGCGCAGGGTATACCGGCCGAGAAGAAAGGCCTCCGTGTGCACACGGACACGGAAAGCAATGGATGTGCATGCTTCCGTGAATGCCACCCACCACACGCGACCCGCTGCCTGACTGTTCACTCCCACCCCTTCTTGACGGCACTAATCGCGGACTTGGACTCGTACGTACTTGCAATGCAGTCCCAAGCAGCGCACAATCCAAATACAAGCGCAGTGCAGCTGGACAAGTGGTCGCGCGAGCTGGCGCCGCTGTCTGATGGAGCGAGGAGCAGCGTGAACACCTTGGCCGACTGGATCAACAAGTCGTTGGATGGGCACAAGCAGGATGCGAGCGCAGCAAGTGCACCACGGCAGAGCAGAGAGGATGTTCAGCAAGATGCTCGCATGGACATCTCGGAGCGCACTCCTCGCCCTTCTTCGCCTGCGCAAGATACCGCGACAGCACAGCCAGAGCCACGCACGCAGGATTCGCTGGCCAGACCAAGCTTGCCCACCGCTCCCATATCGGACGCTCCGGCATTCCTGAGCTGGTACAATGCTCAACAGTCTCACATCGCCTCTTCATCCTCTTCCCATCATCAAGACACCATCAGAGCGCTTGGTGAAGCGCGCGAGCGGGCAGACGAGACGCTGAGCCAGCTCGAGGCTGCTAGAATTCACGTGGCCGAGTTGCGCGCTGGAGCCAAGTTCGTGCAAGAGGGAAGCGAAGGGTTGAGGGAGGAAGCAGAGAGCATGGCGGAGAAAATGGTATGTATGCGCTGTATGCGTCCGCGCGTGCGCGCGCGCGCGCTCACCGACCCCACATTTACCCATGACCCTCTCCGCCTTTAGGATCACCTGTCTACGCTGTCCGATGAGCTCGCCTTGCGACTGTCTTACTTTGCCATCCTACCATCATCGACGACGTTTCTCTCATCGCCTTCTCTCTCCCTAGTCCTCTCTCCCGACTTTCTCTACACTCTCGATCGACTCGATGTCGGTCTGCAGTTCCTGCGAGCTCATCCAGACTATCACGATGCCGCAGTCTACAAGATGCGATTCGAGCATTGTGTAGTGAGAGCTGGCCAGCTGATACGTCTGCACGTCACTAGCACGTTCAAGTCTGTAGTTGGGGAGACGTTGGTCAAGCTGAAAGAATGGGAGAGAAGCAGGTGGAGCAAGGCGGGGGAGAAGGAGACGCAGGATCAAAACGCGCTGATGGTGAGCTGGGAAAGGGTGCTCGGTGGATGAACGGATGCTGACCGGGTCGGTGCTCTTTCACCCACACAGGACCTGGCGGACCCAGTCTTGCACACGCTTCTCTATGACCGCTTCAACGAAGAAGCTCAGCAGATGAAGCCTCTCCTGCTGGAACTTGAAAAGCGTTCTGCGCCCTCTGCGCCAGCCGCAGCCTCGCTCGATGTCTCCAACCATGAGCGAGACAAGCAACCACCCATGGACGAGAACGCGCTTCTGGCTGATTACGCGGCCAAGGCCAAAGTCGAGTCCACGGAAGGCGATGCGGCCGCGCTTCAAGAGGACTCTGCGTCCGCTGCAGTCTTTTCGGCCCCCGAGTTTGATGCTATGCTGATGGAATGCCGTACGGCCTACTTTGAAGCACGCCAAACGCTCCTCTCGGGTATCGTAGGCAGCTGTGTGGCGCGCATCGAGGCTGCTGCTCAGACTCTGGCTTCTGCGACGGCCAGCACCAGTCGAGCTCACGCCTCCCTCTTGCCGCCCCTGGTTCGACAAGGCTTAGCATTCCTGGCGCCGGTGTGCGAGTCGGAGCGATCGTTGTATGGGCGATTCTTTGCTACGCAGACTGCTGCAGAGGCAACCTTCCTCTCCACGCTGTGCGGACCTCTGCACGATCGAGTGTGTTCGCGTGTGCAGCGAGAAAACAATGTGGCCATCGTTTCCCAGGTATGCGTTGCCCTTCTGGAACCAGCAGATCGCCTCGAACACACTGCGCTGCTCTCTCCGCTCATCAGGCCGATGCTCAAAGATGCTCAAGCTCAGCTATCCATGCGAGCCAGGACTCTCTCCTTGGGTCCCGAAATCGCAAACTTCAAGCCGAGCGCAGACGATTTGGACTATCCTACGAAGCTTGGAGGAGCGGCTGCTGCGGCGCATCGACGTGCCCAGAGCAGCATTGGAGGTGCTGGGCTCCTGGAGGCTGCTGCAGAGGCTGAAGCTGCTCGCAGCAGAGGTGCAAGTGAGGCTAGCAGAGACAGCAAGATGGGATTGGCGCGCGCGCAGCAGGAAGGCAACGCTGCCACCACGTCCGTTCGGCTCTTTGCTTCGCCAGCTCCTTCGGTCGTGAGGACGTGGTACACGCCCGTCTCTCGCACACTAACCATGCTCTCGCTACTTCACATTGCCTTGCCCACCAAGCTCTTTTGCGAATTGGCAATGATCGCAGTAGATGCTTGTCGACATGCCCTACTGCACGGTGCAGAGAGGATGGGGAGCGATGGCAATTCCATGATGCCGGGCAGGATAGGGGCGACTGGGCGTATGGACCCGCCATTGTTCTTGCTTCGGCATTTCTTGCTCCTTCGAGAAATGGTGGCGAGCGCGGAATTGAGCACGAGCGCTCAGGGCCAAGGGCAACCTGATCGCATGGCCGTAGCTTTGGGCGATGGAAATGCCCTGCAGCATTCTTCCAGCGTCATCGATTTTGCACTGCTCACTTCGGTCGTCAATGCTCTGTGGGCCACCACTAGCGCTCTGTTGGACCCTAGAGGCTTGCTGCGCGGCGTCGCTTCGGTCGACGAAGAGCCCGCGCTAAATCGCACACGCACACCTCGATCTCCTTCCGGACCTGTTGATCCGGCTCAGAGCGAAGCTTTGACTCGACTCGAAGATGCCATCAAGAGCGCGTCGGCGCAGCTGGTCGACGTCATCTCTTCCAGCGTCTGTCTGCCTGTGCGCGTATTCATGGACCAGGCACGACGGCCCAAAGTCGCTGTTCCCGCTTCGCCCACCACCAAGCCCAGCAAGATGAGCGCGGACAAGATCAAGGGCGCCAAAGAAGCGTTCGACACTTGTGCAAGGACCACGCTTTCGGAGGTCAAGCTGGCTCTGGCGGCGTACATCGAGGAGGAAAGGGTCATCGATTCGCTCGTAGAGCCTATTCTGGTGAGTCTGGTGCAACCGTCTGCGACGCTTGACTGCCCTATGATGCTCCAGCTCACGTGCGCACTCTCACATCCCTCTCGCGCGCACTGCAGACCCGAATCGTGCAGACGTATCAGGCTTTCGTCGACGTGGTGCAAGAGAACACCGCGAACGCAGCTAGCGAGCAACAAGCACCAGAAATAATCCCCAGCCCCGAAGAAGTGCAAAGGGAGCTGCGAAAGCTGATACAGAGGTGATGCGCGCTTTCTCTCTCCCCCCCCCCTCCTTCGCGTCCTGATCACCCTTTCAATTTCCGCCGCGCGATGCTCTGCTGCATACGCGTCACGCAATCGCTTTTGCGCTTGCACGACCAAAGGTCGCAGCGCGATTTTCGTCGAAGCGATGACTTCGCGATCGCTCGCATGGCATCATCGTTATTGCTTAGTGTACAATCGTGCGAGACCGCCGAGAGCCTCGTCGTAAGCAGGTCTGAGCGGTTGCAATACATGATCTTGCAGCTTGATCCTTCTCAACTTGTCCAACCTGCCCGATCGAGCCATCATCTGCTTAAAGTATCGTGCCTACCGTTACGAAAAGGGCGATGGAATGCGGCACGGTGAAGGGCATGGTCAACAAGGGGAACATGGCTCGTCGCTGGGCCGATCGCAACCCCGCTCCCAACGACGATCGCGATTACGATTTCCCCCAACGCCGAGGGAGGCAAGGCATTCCATCCGAACTCACCTCTGGCTCTTCGACCAAACTCCAAGCGTGACCCTGATTGTTGGCCCGCGCTGTGCGTCCCACGCGATGCACATACTTGGCCATATCCACGGGCACATCGTACGACACGACGTGTGCGACAGAGGGCAGGTCTATGCCTCGGGCAATGAGATCCGAAGAGACGAGTCTGGCGCAGACAAGACCGGAGAGGGGAAAGTTTATCGGTAGCGCAAAAGGAGTGGATCGAGTCGAGGTTCAGCCTGGCAACTTTGGCTTGCCATCGCATCACTCATCTCTGCACTGGCGGGCGCAATCTCGCACACTCTCGCGCCACCACTCACACGTCAATGTGACCCTTTTTGAACAAGGACAAGATCCTCCGTCTCTCGCCCGACGAAAGTTCAGACGAACACTCCGCCACGGTGATGTGCCGTGCATGCGGTGTCCGCTGGGCATTCCTGCCTGCATGTTCCTGCACAAACAGCTGCATCAGCTTGACCAGTCTCGTCGAGCTCTCGACGGACTTTGTAAAGATGAGAATTCCTCCGCCTAGTGGAAGGGGTAGCGCGGACTCCAGGTTCGAAGAAGCTGTGGCGGGTGCCGGGCTGTAGAGCAGGTGCAAGAGGTACAGAGGTTTGAGGGACGTCGGAACGACCAGCAGGTGTTCCTGTGCAGTCGTCAAAGGTTCGTTGAGCTTGGACATGTCGTGTGCTACGCACTGCTCTGTACTGTCAACGACTCACTTTGAGCCCAGCGGGCAGTTCGAAATCATCCTTGATATCAACAACGAAGTCACGTGAACCGTCCTGGCCATCCTTTGCACCCTCACGAGGCTTGGCACGGACGGTAATGTAGTGCGGATCGTGGAGGTCCAGCGCTGCCATCTTTGCAGGATCGCGCGTCAATGTAGCCGAAAAGAGCAACTTTTGCGCGTGCTAGAACGGCAGAGGAGTGGGCGGCGAGTTGCAGTGCCGCATCAGCAGGCATGGTATCGAGCATCATAGTGCGCGCGCACCCACAGCGGCAGACTTACGCATTTACCTGGCCCCTTTGCCTGCTCCACTTCCACCTGTCGACCGAGCGTCGCGCCTTGCGAGACAGCTTGTTGTCTCAGCCAAGCTGGCGCCAGTATCGCCTCATCAGGAGCAGCAGCTCGCCGCTCATCGACCGAGAGCGAAAGCGCAGCCAACAATCTCGAAGCCCAATTTTGAAAACTCTGTCCCAAAAGCCTGTCCGCCTCGTCGATCACCAAGAACCTTAGTTGCTGCAGTGAGATAGCTGCAGCGGATAGACCTGCGCGGTTCCTCGGCGAGCCAATCGAGTCTTCCTCCACATCGCCCGCATCCTGCCCTCGAGCTCCGAGCAGGTGATCCACCAGCCTTCCAGGCGTGGCTAGAAGAATGTCCACCTCGGACCGCGCCAAACTTGCCGCTTCGCTAGCAAAAGATTTGGAGCCCGTCACGCTAGCTATGCGCAAGGGCATCGTATTTCTCCAAGCTGAATCTCCCCCAGTCGTTGCCTCCATGCTGGCCGACTTGGATGTCGCATACGCTCTAAGCAGCACCTCGAAAGTCTCTCGAACTTGATTCACCAGCTCTCGCGTAGGAAGAATGATGAGCGCTCGAAGAGCCGGAATCCTTCTACGTCGGAGGACCTCGAGGATCGGAACGCAGTACGCCAACGTCTTGCCGCTACCCGTGGGCGCAGTGACACACAAGTCGCGTGGCAGTGTGCGCGCGTCCAGTCTGCTTGTGGATGCTGCGGGGTACAGCGAGTGCGCGTCTGGATGGTTCAAGAGCAGCGGTATGACGGCCGTTTGGACTGGAGGGCAGGTAGGTGAGACGATGAGCCGAGCGGTGGGGCGTGCTGGCAGGACATCATCACGCACCTGCGAACCATTCCTTGATGCCCAAGCCTTGCAACTGCGCTTGCATTTCTGGACTGACCATTCCAGCGCCGGCCTGTGCCCCAGCCGTCTGGCTGGTTCCGTCACTGTGACCCTCTGCTGCACTGCTCAAGCCCGCGGTCAGCTTTGGATCCACCACGGTTGCCCTCCTCATGCCTTCTGGCAACCCTTGATCAGCGAGAATCTTTGCATCTGGCACCTCTGCTCTGCGCGCTGCAGGAAAAGCTTGGAGCGGTGCTGGTTGTGCAATTGACGATGCCAAAGCTGGGTCAGCTTGAGCTTCCGCTTCTGCATCGTGCGATGGAGGTGACGCGCCGCGTGCAGATGAAGCTGATGACTCGCTGTCGCTTGCGCTCGAAGAAGAAGAGGAGGAGGAGGAGGAGGAGGAGGAGGAGGAGGAGGAGGA